TGTAACATCCTATTTTTCAAAAATACTATTATTATTATTATTATTATTATTATTATTATTATTATATGGTACTTGGTTAAAATTATTTTTATTATTATAGGGGAATATTTTTTTTTATTTTATTTGTATAACTATTTTGGGAAAAAGAGAAGCGGGTTGGGTTGACTTGGTCCAGTGGATTATTTTAAGAAAAGGGGTCAGACAGAGTTAACCCTATCTGCCTCACTTTTGTATTCTAAAGGGTTAGGATAGAAAGAGAAGAGAAGAAGGGAGCTATGAGGAGGAGTGCTCAGGGTCAATCACAAACTACATCAGAATTGCTTTGATCAATGCAACAAGGTATGGGGGAAAAGGGAGGGGATGGGTAAAAGGGGAAGTCCCTTAAATTCTTAGGGTTTTCTAATCCTTTTCTGTTTGTGAATTTGAATAATTTCTATATGAATTTATAATTTTTTTTATGGTGTGAATTGTTAAAATTAATGTTCTGGATGTTGAATAGAATGTCTTTTAAATGTGCTTGTGATGTAGGGTTAATGAGGGATTAAGATTTTGTCAATTGGTATGTTGTTTTATGAAATTGATGATTCAATCAGGTTATATATTGATTTATAAATGTGGTTGTTATATTGTTTGGTAAAATTGAAGATCTAGATGATAATTGAATTCATTGGAATATGCTATGTAAGTTAGGATTCTTGTAGATTGATGAACACCCTTAATTATATGAATTAATGAGTAATTGGGAGATTTTACTTATGGATGTACCTTAGTATTTTTCTAATATATTTCTGTGTGATTAACGAAATCAATTTTCATTTGTTGGGTTAGAAAGTAGACACTTGGGGCTATAACTTAGACTCTAAAATCATGTAAAAATGTTAAGAATTGATTGAGTTATGCGAGTTATAAGTTCAGTCTCCATTCTAGTGCGTGAAATATTAAGTTTGTGTTGTCAGCCATGTGAGGTGACTTTAACGACACCTTTAGGCTTCATGTTCTTCACAAAAGTTGTAGACTTGGGTGTTATATTTCCAATGGAATTGGAATTACTCGAAAAGGAAGTGTATAACTCAAGTTATGATCAAAATAGTGAGTAAAGGTCTAGCTATTAGAATTTACAGTGCTAGATGCGGGTATTCTATTTCAAATTGCATTTTTTACATTTTAGGACCCCTTTTTGGCATGTTTGTGATACTTTATGATTTCTTAGTTATTCTTTATAATACTTATGATATGATTGAATGAGTTTTATGTGGGATTGTGAAATATGGTATTATATTGATGGATTTTGATAATGGTTGTGAATCGTATGATGTCCAGTAATAACTATTGTATGAATAGATATAAATGGTGTGTATTTGGCTGTGTATATTTGAGTATGAATGGTTTGTATTTGGATGAGTGATATATAAAGATGATAGAGGACCATCCTTGGAGCTTCATGTGGGACCCATCACTAGGTCCATGGCTAGGAGAGTGGAGGATGGAGGTGACACCATGCCTAGAGCTATACTCATCATGTGTGTAGAGTATTGACCCTCTCCTAGGCCTATTTTGAGTAGTATAGGATTTATTGCTTTTATTTTCATTTTATCCTTGTATTTTGGGGTACCCTAAAGATAGGATTTTATTTTATATTTTCATTTAGCCCTTGTATTATAGGGCAAGTTAGCTTAGGATTTATTTTTGGGCTTAAACCTTGACTTGTGAGGTCAAAGTCCACTTTTTCTATTTTTAGGTCAAAGGGTATTTTAGTCTTTTAGGAGGAAGGAAACCCACACTTCATTTAGGGTGCATTTAGCTTGCATTACACGACCATGCAACCCTGGATGTTTTCCTTCCCTTATATATACCCTTGGCCTCCCACCATGTACATACTTTGGATTATATGCATTTGAGTGAGCATTTTTCCTTAAAAGTTTTCCTTAGTCACCTAGGTCATCTCGGCCCGCACCCTCTCCTCTCAACCTAGAGTGAGTTTAGGGTTTTCTTGAGTGGCCTTCATCAACACTTGGTGAAGAGAGCCAACTAGAGCACCCAAAACACCATCCGCCCTTCCTTAAGCCTATTTTCCCCCTTCATTAAAACCTCACGCCCATCCTTGATTCATCATCACCCTTAGAGGAAAATCTAGCCATTAGCCTCTTTCAAAGTCTATGAAGGAAAGGAATCTTCTCCCTTGGAAGCCATTGATCACACCATGGAGAAGAAGAGTCCATCAGATATATAAATGTGATTGAATGTGAATGATTGGTAATTGAATGAGTGATGTATGAGAAGATTTGTGTGTAATGTATTGTTATGTATGAAAATGTTTGTGTGCAATGCATTTGCATGGATGAGAATGAGGATGGATGTGGTAGAATGGCATGACCATCAATAAACGCATATGCATTACCCTAGCCTGTGTGGTATATAACAGGGAATGTATAATATATAAGTATAACCGCCTTAGCCTAAGTGGTGATTAACAGGACAGTGTTTACCTTGGCCTGTGTGGTGCATAACAAGGAATGCATGTTATACTTATATATCCATTGGCCTGTGTGGTGTATAATAGTGGGCAAGTGGGAGGTGGTGCCTGAGAGGATTGATAAGGTTCGCCCATTTTGCGGCTCTCCGAGTCAATGCTCCTTAGGAGGTTGTGGTGCTTGAGCATTGGTGTGAGCAAGTTCATGGTGCATATTTATATTGTGATGTGATGATTGGATGGGATAGTTTGGAGTAATATTAGGACATGAGATTGACTGGTATGTTTAATTATATTTATTTATGGAATGAGTTGTAATGTATGAAATTCCTTCTTGTAACTTGTATGTGAACACTCGTTTTTCTCACCATACTATTTGTGATTGTTTTAGGTGAGAATGAACTGGATGTGGATGGCACTCAAGGTGTTCATAATTGAAGTTAAGGGTTGCTCTTATAGTGTGACATCAGAACAAGGGACTTAGATTGAAAATCTTATTTTATTTAGATTTTATTGTTCTTGTTAGTCATAATTGTAAACTTATATTTTATAATTTGTTTTAAATTGGTTGGATATTTGGAAGTGTTTCATATGTTAACCGTTTTACTCAAAATTATTAATAATTTTCTCCTTTTATTATTGTTATATGTTGAGGTAGAACGGGTGTCACATGCAATTTTTAAAATCTCTCCTCTAGTCCTAGGTTGGTTATCATAGCTCAACAATACAACAACTTCTTACATATTCAACACAGCTACACAACCAACATACAACTTTACAACTCAAAACACACATCTCAACTCATATTCAACTTCTTAATCATCATTCATCTCAAAACATCATCATATATAGACTAACAACACTTAACAACTTTAAAGTATGCAACCTATACATCTACTCATCTCACATTCAACCATCAAATATATCGACATGCTCTCATTCTACTAATAACGCTCAATGCAACACACTTTGGACTCGGTGGACAAGAAACTCGTTGCCTCATCCACGTTGGACACTACACTACACAACTCAAGCCTAGCATGGATAAGAAAAAGGCCCCTAAGACCTCATACGTGGCAAAGTGCCATGCCCGACCTCATTTTAAGAAGAGAGTCCCTACCTGAATCATGTCCGATGTCACCATACTAGTGCCTGATGTCATCCAGATAGAGAGAGCTCTAACTTGGCCACGTTGGGCGTCACTCAACCTTAGGCTTGGCATTACCAAGTCAGAGACCTCCCATTATTATCATGCACAGTGCCATTTAAACTACGTCAACACCACCCCAACCCAAAATGAGTTTCTCTCCTCACGCTTGATGCCACAAATATTGGGCCCGACGTAATCGAGATAGAGAGTTTCATGTTAGAATGACACCCAACATCCTGAAGGCGTGCTCGACACAATACAAGTTCTGCACTTATGTAGATCGTGAATTTGGCTGGATCCACCTGAAACTCAACAATTTCCACACATACAACACTACAAATCGACTATATACATCACAACCAACTCAAAAATGCAATCAGATTTAACATGCAACAACAATTTCACATCAAATCAACACATTTTATTTTTTGCCCAAAACCCAACACATTAAGGAAAATTCTTATTATACAATTTTTTTTTATCTCATTTTCATTTCATAGTTTCTTTTGATCTCTTTTTTCTTTTACTATCGTTGACTAAATGTCATTAGTCATGTTCTCTATTGAAAATTATTCATAAGTACATAAAATTAGTTAATACTATATATTTATAACATATTAGTTAACCAACAAGATAAGACATATTTGATAGATAACACTATCCTTAACTCCTTAAGTATTTAGTCAAAGGAATGATATTTGATTAATGTGTATGAAAAAATATTACTTGGGAGAAGTTAACACTAACCATGTTTATTCGCTAGTTCCAAGTTCAAGGCTCAACCTTTTCTACTCATAGTATTAGTGAAAAATAAAAAGTAAGCCTCTCAAACTAATTAGACTTTTGAAAGATTGTAATTTTATTATCTTTATAAGATTACTTTACACACAATTTTACAATGATGAAATATTATTCATTTTGAATTTTATAACCCTCATAATTTTACTTTTGATTGTCTTTTAAAAGATCTCTTAATCATCAAAATTTGTATATATTTTATTAATTTTTACTTTTTTTTTCTTATTTTATCAATGTAAAACCTTATTTGTATGATAACAAATATTAGTCTAAGGAATAAAATATTCACAGAATCTGCGCTGATTTGCATGAGACCAACCCTGGTAGTGTAATTGCAAGGACACTGTCGCTCAAATCATGTTTACAAGCGAAGGTTGAGGGTCTACAAGTAAGTGAACATGACGAAGACTTTTATGACCAATTTATATTGACATCTCATAGATGATTCTTAGATGGTGAGGTGGGAGAAACACCTCGAGTAAATCTCGTGATTTGCATTGTGTTGCTAACCGACTAAGAATTCTGGATATAAATTTATTAGCATTTATGAGAAGAAATTAAAAAAAAGAAAAAAAAGTGTACTTATAAAAATAAAAGTGCATATATCATGAGCTAAAATTATACAATCCTTATGGTTGTCACCCCTAAATGCAACAAATTGGTCTCTTTCTTCAACACCACCTGATCCTCCATTTTTTTCACCCCGTCAGATGGAGCATGTCGTCAAACCATTTGTCAAAAATGATAAAAACAAGAAATTGAACAATTGTATTGAATGACGGGTAAAAGGGGAATGAGTCTTCTTCCCCTTTTCTTACAAACTTTGATTGATCCCCTCTGACTTACTATAATTGTTGCCAACTAATTTTCCCCAACTTGCTACTACCTCGTACCAAACATCTATAGAGGAGTCAAAAGTGCGTATAGCACTCCAACACTGATTAATATAAAAATATTTTTAAGTAACAGTAAATATTTACAACGACACATTTTTTCACTAAGCACTTGTTTCCCAAAATCCATCATCCAATCAAGGTTTGAGTACCAATTCTGATTGTAATCAAGCATGCATCAGAACTCACAAAAACTGGCCGTTTCCTTTGTAATGCTTCAGCCCCAATCAATGATAGAGGAAATGGGGTTGAGAAGTGTCCTAACACTAGATGCATTAAAGGGAGATCTGCAAACTGAACAACCACATATATATTACACGTTGCATACCTACCAATCTTCTATGTCATCATCGGAAGTCCCCCTAGATTGTTCATCTAAATCCATTTTGTCAAAATCAAAATCTTCCATTTCCAAGTCATCACATGCTCTATTTCCAAGCAATTTAAGCATGGGCATGTACTCAGTGGCCATAATTGACGTATGATAAGAACTAAACCGTCTACAGGCAGGGATTCTGAGCCTATCCACCTCATTCTGCAATGTAAGATCATGAACAGAAGTCAAATTTAAATAGTGGCGAGAAACACAAAACTAGAAGATGAAATATTTGAATCTTCTAATGATAAAGCTCTTGCGAACACCACAAAGTAACAGACAAAAAATAAATAGCATAAACAGAAAATCTTTCAAAAAAATTATCGTTGAAGTACTATATTCCATTTATGCTCTCCAGAGTCCTTTTTTCTTTCCTAAGGTAACTAAACGTAACGCATTTCAAATTCAAATTTCCTACTTCAAATAGATAGTTGAAAAATTGCAGGATAAGAAAATATAACAAATAGAGGAGCCATATGATGAGTTTACCTTGTATAGTGATGCTTTCTCAACATGCCAGAGTTGTGGTCGCCGAATTGCATGCCACCTGTAAAAGTGAACATAATTAAAATATAACAGAAAAATATTTTTTTTGTCACACAGAAGACTGAATGCAAATAAGTGATAACCTGGAGGATAGCGGATGAGAATTTCCAAAAAGCACGCCCCGAACAGATATGGATGCAGCAGCTGACTGTAAAACACTCTCTGCCTCGTTATAACTACATAGCATTCCCCGATGTTTAGCAAGAAGAATGTCAGCATCACTTAGATATGAAGACAAAGTCCATGCATCATCTATTGCTTCGTCATTCAAAAAATCCAGAACTGCATGAAATTAGCAAGGAATTAGAAAGCTACTGGCTTTGGTTTAGAAAAAAAAAAAATCATCTTCGCTTTATAAATAATTTTTCAATTATTACAAAAGAATGTCAACAATGGCATATAGAAAGGAACTACCATTTTCATGCAGAAAATCAGCAACTGGACCAGGTTGCACATGGGCTTGACAAAGAATCTTCTCAGGGACATCCATTTTTAGTGGTAATCTTGAAAGTCTTTCTCGTATAAGAAATCCATCTTGATCTACCACACAAGAAAATGAACTAGTCAAAAGCAGTAAAGCAAATCTAGAGATTCAACTTAACCTACTTAATTTTGCAGATTCCCCAGGTAAAAGAATAAAAAATAAAAAATAAAAGACAAGATATGAAATTCAAATTTTGGTGAATTACGTACCATATTCTGTTGCAACTCCAGTCTCCCTTTTATTGTGCAAAAATTTCCCCAAGGCATGAAATAAAGATAATGTCTCGTCTCTGCCAAAGTGCAAGGAATATCCATCATCTGATCTAACAGGTTTAGTACTTTCCTCTTTCAATGCACCACGAGAGCAGGTAGGCGGGGCCAAAGAATGCACAAGAGTTGGTTTTACACAGAAAAACTGTAAAGAAGTAATTGCATGTCTGATGTCACCTCCACTTGTTTTTGCTATTAGATCAACATGCTCATCAGTCACATCACAATGCTCCATTTGGCATATTCTAAAAAGTATCTTCTTCATAGTATTCACTGTAATTGGATTGAATGCAACCTGAAAGTTCCCCAAACTAAGTTTTACATAAGTGTTCTCGTATAACATAACATCAAAAACCAGAAGAGGAATCTTCAAGGATGTAACCTTACAAGCCCCAGAACTCTCTAGAGATAGCTTCAGTTCTTCCAGGCAACGAGCATTATAATCTGCTGAATCAGCATTGCCGTAGTCCGTGAACAATATTGCTGTGGGTATTTGAATTGAATTCACTAAAAGGTGCAAGCAATCTTTAACTCTTCCAAAAGCAGGTTTCCCATTAATCATGGGAAGATCATCTATTAAAAGTATGATGGAAGGCTTTGACTCCCCAGAATGGGAATTCAGCAATAATCCATATTTCCGTACTCTGTCAACAAAACTTTCAAATTCATCCAACTTTGATGTGTATTGTGTCCCTATCAATGAATCAGAAAATTAATAAATAAATAAAAAATGGTTACAATCAGGAAGTTACAAATTTCATTCATCAGAATTCACACCTCTCAAATAGCATGTATTTTCCCATTTGGAATATGAACACAATGCACGTTGTCATTTTAATAATACATCCTGATGGACACTCACCATTCACAGAAAAATAAAAAATAAAAAATAGGTGATTTAACAATAAAGGCTAAAAGGGATGAGAACAAAGTTTTTCATGCTAGCTCATCAAAACATATTTGCTGAACCCACCTGTGCCCGAATTGTGAAGATGTTCTTGCCAAATTACAGGTGTAGGCGTGTTCCACCCATAAACTATTGCTCCCAGATAAGATGCAATTACATGAATAGCTGTCTACAAAATGAAAAGAAGAAATACTTCAATATGATATCAACGTGATATTTCTACCAAAGTACATTAAAATAAGGTCCTTATTCCTTAATGTAAAGTATTTCACATTTTTATTTTTTATTATATGTAGCAGATTTTATAAAAGTGAAGTGCTATTCAGTATTCAGTAATAATTAAGTTAAATCTGCAGATATAAGAAAAAAATAAAGAATCAAATTGAAACCAAAATACTGATGATATAGATAAAAGAAAAGATTTTGACACCAAACCACAATGGCCTGAAGTTCCAAATATTAACAATTTAACATTTCTAAACTGTCCTGAGAGGCTGAGCCAGTACAACAAAGAGGCTAAAATGATGAGGGAAGAGCTACATACGGATTTTCCAATTCCTGCTTGCCCACTGATGACAAGAACATTATTACTGTAGCCAGCCTGTAAATTTTCCATAAAGAGAAGAAAAAAGGAACCCACAATATGAATAGAATAAAAACAACATAATGTATAAATAACATTCAGATAGAACAACTTATAGTCGCTTATATCAGTATAACCTAGTAGTACAGGGGAACAAAATTCTATAAAAATGTAAAATCTGGAACTGAAGTACTAAACACATCAGAGGGGGAATTTTGAAGACTCTAAACAACCAACAGCCAAAAGATGATGCGGTTCTCTTTTTTCCTAACAAGCAAAAACTCTCAAACATTTTTAAAATATTGACAATTCAACATTACTTTATCATTAATACTTCATGTCTGTCAAAAAAAGACATTGTTTTGCAACTTTACAGGAATAATAATCTTTACCAGACTATAAATTCTAGTGGGTTAAACAAGATAATAATTAAAAGACAAGTAAATTGATTATAATCCTACAGCTCTTTTCCTAGATTTACCTTTGATGGTTTCAGCCTCTCCTCAAACCACATCTTAACTTCTTCAACCTGCAAATGCAACAAAAACAGAAAATTTGAGATGTTATTCATATCACTACCAAGATCAAGAACTTGGGAATCAGAGCCTTCACCTTTTTCTTGTGAACAGCAAGCTCATCCAGTGAATGGGGCTTGTATTTATCCACCCATAGCTCATCTGAATAACTCCTTTGAGTACCTGATGTATCCATTTAGTACTTATGACATCTTAGAGCATAGAAAAAAAGATACAGATCCAGAAAGTGCAACAATGGGTTAAAAGGGGCAAATTGAAGACTTCAAACCTTTACTTTAACATCAGTATCAAAATTGAAAAGGAAGCACAGTAATAGTGTAATACCACAGTTTGCCTCCTTTAAAATGAAGGGGTGCACCTTAGGGAATAAGGTGAAGTTACAACTGTCAATTAGAAAACTAACAGATTGATATTGTGATAAAATACAAACATAAGAATAAAAACTTTAGAGTTGTTAAAATTTAACAGTCGATTTTCTGTCAAGGGCTATAAATGCACTTTATTCTCTAAAAAGCATCCCCTCGCTTTACAGGAACTACGCATAGCATAGCGAAGTTCTCATCATCAGAATTAGCTCCTCCATAAAGTAACCAAGTATAAAGTAAGTAATCTCATTAGTTGATGAAAAGATCATCAGTTGATATTCTAACACATTCATGCTTTACTATGCATGTGCACATAATATCAACACTTATTTTTTCATCAACAGTTAAGACTTAAGATTGCTTACTCTACCTTCTAAAATGAGGAACTCACTTCACAATAGGCAAATCCCCCAACATCATGTCAAACCTAACAAATATACGAATATCCAATAAAATAAAAAAAATAAAAAAACGTTTAAAAACAGCAACAGCATACCAGCGGATACCTTTGACCCAGTAAACACTTCATTGAAATCGTCCCCAAATAAGTCTATCTGCAATAAAACGAACTCATCAAATTCCCACATTCCTCAAATAACACACATTCAACAAAATAGTAACAACGCAATGCGAACTAACTCAAACAGGCTTCGCAGCTATTAGTGAAAGTTACGTATAACATAAACCAAGTAACAAACACACAACAAAGTGAAAAAAAAAAAAAAATGGATACCTCATGCAGTTTGGAGAGGCGAGAGCGAGAAGCGGAACCACGAGCTCTCTTCTTTCCGCGAGAGGATGTGGACTTGTTCTTCGCATTTCTGCGTCTCGAATTCGATGAACTAACGTTGGAAGCATCTTCATCATCAGATGACAGAACAACGACGCAGCTTCGCTTTGCCATTGGAAAACCCTATTTTGTTTTAGGGATTTGTGGCAACGAGGGACAAATTGTTCGCTCAGTTCGTTGGCAGATTCACGAAAATGAAATCCACGGAAACCAACCTTGGCCGTGAAACGAAATCGAAAACCCCAACATGGTGGTGGGTTTTGGACTTTTGGTTTTGGAGCGCAAAATGTGAATGTTCGCGGTTTTTATTTTCCCTTTTTTTTATTGAGAGTATTTTATTTTCTTATTAAAATTTATTTAAAAACTTTACAACAACTCACTCATCATTTCCATTACACCAATGTTATTCTTTTTGTAGACCCCTTCATAACGAGTGCTCTACAAGTTATTGTTATGAACATTTGGTTGAAAATAACTTAAGAGACAAATAACTTGTGGGTTAATAGTTTAATATCAATTTTGATATGATTGATTATTGACCGATGTAGGGAATTACTATCAACATCAGATTTTTCATTAAATTTAAAATGTTTTGTTGTAGTCAGTGACGGATCTAGAAAATTTAGATAGTGGAGGCAAATTTATTTATATATTTATAATATTACCCAATCTTCCTCCAGAGGTAACCGCAGAGTTGAATGAATATGTGCATACCTTTGCTGCGGCCTCCGAATTGCACACGAAGTGGTCTACTTCGAATCAGGAGATGGTCCAGCTCGAGGCTGATACGGAAGAGGATCGAACCAAATTGGAAAAGCTCAAGACTGAACTTCTTTCGATCAAGGAATCCACTTCTCGGATATATCCCGAACTGATGAAGCTCAAGCAATCTGAGGAAGATACGAAGCGTACACTTGCTGCCCTGCAACGAGAACTTGACTTGATCAGGTCCAAACATGCTGCTTTGAAGCTTCAAAGCCAAGAGATTATGATGAAGCAAAAAGGTTTGCGGGATGAAGGGAAAGGCATCTCTCTTCGACTTTCAAATTCGTTGGATCAAAAGAGAAGATTGGAGGCATTATGTGCTTCGCGGAAGCAAAGTCTCGACCAAGCCTACCAGGCATATGAATCACTCAAATCCAAATTCTGCAAGTGATCGAGAACTTGCGAGATGCCTATTTATGATTTAATATTTATCCGCTTGTACCTTTATCGCTTTGCTTGTCTCTTTGAACACTCGTCTCAGTACATGCTACTTTCATGAAATTTCTTCAAGTATTTTCCGTTGATTACTTTACTTGCATTTCTCGAATTTAATTCTTTGATCAAGTATGCATTGTTCGAGTAGATTCTTTCGATAATGAATGGTCCTTCCCAATTATAGGTCCATTTACCCCGATCTCGAGATTTTTGGTCCATTGGAAGGATAACTTTTAGGACTAAGTCTCCACTCGAAAATTGTTTGCTCTTGACCTTTTTGTTATAAACTCGAGCTATTTTTTCTTTTTGATGAATGACATTTTGCATGGCTGTCATTCTCTCGTCATCCAATCGAATTAGTTCATCGTACATTAAATTCCAATAATCCTTGACTGGTAACTCATTTTTCCTTTGCACATGAATGGATTGCAAATTGATATCAATAGGCAAAATTGCTTCGTGACCATACACCAACTTGTATGGCGTAGTTTGGGTGGCATTCCTAGGTGAATTTCTGTAAGCCCACAATATTTGTAGCAATGTTTCATGCCAATTTCGAGGTTTCCCCAAAATATGTTTTTTGATCAACGCTATGATCACTTTGTTAGCAGCCTCGACTTGGCCGTTAGCTTGTGCATAGTAGGGTGTCGAAGTAATCATTTTGATTCCTCTCGACTGGGCATACTGGACCACTTTTCGACCTGTGAACACCGTTCCTTGATCTGTAGTTATTGTCTGGGGTAT